TCGTGTTTCGTGTATCGTGTTTCGTGTATCGTGTTTCGTGTTTCGTGTATCGTGTTTCGCGTATCGTGTTTCGCGTATCGTGTTTCGTGTATCATGTTTCGTGTATCATGTTTCGTGTATCATGTTTCGTGTATCATGTTTCGTGTATCATGTTTCGTGTATCATGTTTCGTGTAACGTGTTTCGTGTATCATGTATCGTGTATCATGTTTCGTGTATCATGTTTCGTGTATCATGTTTCGTGTATCATGTTTCGTGTATCATGTTTCGTGTATCATGTTTCGTGTATCGTGTTTCGTGTATCGTGTTTCGTGTATCGTGTTTCGTGTATCGTGTTTCGTGTATCGTGTTTCGTGTATCGTGTATCGTGCATCGTGTTTCGTGTTTCGTGTTTCGTGTTTCGTGTATCGTGTTTCGTGTATCGTGTTTCGTGTATCGTGTTTCGTGTTTCGTGTATCGTGTTTCCTGTATCGTGTTTTGTGTATCATGTTTCGTGTATCATGTTTCGTGTATCATGTTTCGTGTATCATGTTTCGTGTATCATGTTTCGTGTATCATGTTTCGTGTATCATGTTTCGTGTATCATGTTTCGTGTATCATGTTTCGTGTATCGTGTTTCGTGTATCGTGTTTCGTGTATCGTGTTTCGTGTATCGTGTTTCGTGTATCGTGTTTCGTGTATCGTGTTTCGTGTTTCGTGTATCGTGTTTCGTGTATCGTGTTTCGTGTATCGTGTTTCGTGTATCATGTTTCGTGTATCATGTTTCGTGTATCATGTTTCTTGTATCATGTTTCGTGTATCATGTTTCGTGTATCGTGTTTCGTGTATCGTGTTTCGTGTATCGTGTTTCATGTATCGTGTTTCGTGTTTCGTGTTTCGTGTATCGTGTTTCGTGTATCGTGTTTCGTGTATCGTGTTTCGTGTATCGTGTTTCGTGTTTCGTGTATCGTGTTTCGCGTATCGTGTTTCGCGTATCGTGTTTCGCGTATCGTGTTTCGTGTATCGTGTTTCGTGTATCGTGTTTCGTGTATGGTGTTTCGTGTATCGTGTTTCGTGTATCGTGTTTCGTGTATCATGTTTCGTGTATCGTGTTTCGTGTATCATGTTTCGTGTATCATGTTTCGTGTATCATGTTTCGTGTATCATGTTTCGTGTATCGTGTTTCGTGTATCGTGTTTCGTGTATCGTGTTTCGTGTATCGTGTTTCGTGTTTCGTGTTTCGTGATTCTTGTATCGTGTTTCGTGTATCGTGTTTCGTGTATCGTGTTTCGTGTATCGTGTTTCGTGTATCATGTTTCGTGTATCATGTTTCGTGTATCATGTTTCGTGTAACGTGTTTCATGTATCATGTTATGTGTATCATGTTTCGTGTATCATGTTTCGTGTATCATGTTTCGTGTATCATGTTTCGTGTAACGTGTTTCGTGTATCATGTTTCGTGTATCATGTTTCGTGTATCATGTTTCGTGTATCATGTTTCGTGTATCATGTTTCGTGTATCATGTTTCGTGTATCGTGTTTCGTGTATCGTGTTTCGTGTATCGTGTTTCGTGTATCGTGTTTCGTGTATCATGTTTCGTGTATCATGTTTCGTGTATCATGTTTCGTGTATCATGTTTCGTGTATCATGTTTCGTGTATCATGTTTCGTGTATCATGTTTCGTGTATCATGTTTCGTGTATCATGTTTTGTGTATCAAGTTTCGTGTAACGTGTTTCGTGTATCATGTTTCGTGTATCATGTTTCGTGTATCATGTTTCGTGTATCATGTTTCGTGTAACGTGTTTCGTGTATCATGTTTCGTGTATCATGTTTCGTGTATCATGTTTCGTGTATCATGTTTCGTGTATCGTGTTTCGTGTATCATGTTTCGTGTAACGTGTTTCGTGTATCGTGTTTCGTGTATCATGTTTCGTATATCGTGTTTCGTGTATCGTGTTTCGTGTATCGTGTTTCGTGTATCGTGTTTCGTGTTTCGTGTTTCGTGTTTCGTGTTTCGTGCATCGTGTTTCGTGCATCGTGTTCCGTGCATCATGTTCCATGCATCATGTTCCATGCATCATGTTCCGTGCTTCATGTTCCGTGCTTCATGTTCCGTGCTTCATGTTCCGTGCGTCATGTTCCGTGCGTCATGTTCCGTGCGTCATGTTCCATGCGTCATGTTCCATGCGTCGTGTTCCATGCGTCGTGTTCCATGCGTCGTGTTCCATGCGTCGTGTTCCATGCGTCGTGTTCCATGCGTCGTGTTCCATGCGTCGTGTTCCATGCGTCGTGTTCCATGCGTCGTGTTCCATGCGTCGTGTTCCATGCGTCGTGTTCCATGCGTCGTGTTCCATGCGTCGTGTTCCATGCGTCGTGTTCCATGCGTCGTGTTCCATGCGTCGTGTTCCATGCGTCGTGTTCCATGCGTCGTGTTCCATGCGTCGTGTTCCATGCGTCGTGTTCCATGCGTCGTGTTCCATGCGTCGTGTTCCATGCGTCGTGTTCCATGCGTCGTGTTCCATGCGTCGTGTTCCATGCGTCGTGTTCCATGCGTCGTGTTCCATGCGTCGTGTTCCATGCGTCGTGTTCCATGCGTCGTGTTCCATGCGTCGTGTTCCATGCGTCGTGTTCCATGCGTCGTGTTCCATGCGTCGTGTTCCATGCGTCGTGTTCCATGCGTCGTGTTCCATGCGTCGTGTTCCATGCGTCGTGTTCCATGCGTCGTGTTCCATGCGTCGTGTTCCATGCGTCGTGTTCCATGCGTCGTGTTCCATGCGTCGTGTTCCATGCGTCGTGTTCCATGCGTCGTGTTCCATGCGTCGTGTTCCATGCGTCGTGTTCCATGCGTCGTGTTCCATGCGTCGTGTTCCATGCGTCGTGTTCCATGCGTCATGTTCCATGCGTCATGTTCCATGCATCATGTTCCATGCATCATGTTCCATGCATCATGTTCCATGCATCATGTTCCATGCATATTGTTCCATTCATCATGCTCCATGCATCATGTTCCATGCATCATGCTCCATGCATCATGTTCCATGCATCATGCTCCATGCATCATGCTCCATGCATCATGTTCCATGCATCATGCTCCATGCATCATGTTCCATGCATCATGTTCCATGCATCATGTTCCATGCATCATGTACCATGCATCATGTTCCATGTATCATGTTTCATGCATCATGTTCCATGCATCATGTTCCATGCTACATGTTCCATGCATCATGTTTGTTATAACTGTGTTCTATATGTGTACCACAGCTATGCAGTGAGAGGGTAGAACTACTTGATCCAATACCATATTTCAATACCACTACCATTTGATTATGTTTAGCTATGCAATAGTGCATCTTGAGACACAACAACATCAACGCTTACTAATGATTTGACAGAATGACATTGTTTACTAATTACATTTATTGCACTATAGAAATAGACATCGGACAGCTTGAACAAACTGGACAACCTAACCCTAACATAACACGAACAAGACTAACTGAAGCTTCTCTGGCAACAACGAACTCACACTAAAACGTCACTTTATTGCGTACCGCGTCACACTTTCACTCGTTCAATATTATCGCTTCGCACCAACATTCATGCGCACCAATTTCCCTAGTCGAACATGCATCATAACATTACCCCCCTCTCCCTTCAAGCTAATCACATTAGCTTTATTAATTACATCAATAATACAACATTCTATTTTACCTAACAATAGCAACTATGGTAGCATTCACATATAGACCTTAAAGGCTAAATAATCTTAACTAATTCTTGAAGTTTCAGTTTAGTTCATGTCTCCGCGCGAACAACCATATTTCGACGATTCTGCAAAGTATACATCTCAGATCACCAGTTGGGTGTACATCATACAATCACACTTCACGTAAAGGCCAGGATTTCATACAATGTCGTTCATATCATAGACCTTAAACATCACATCAGTTCCAATGAAAACAAATTATTTCTAGGGGAAAACAACATGTCACTACTAATCGGTTATCAGGATCTAACATAGTCTCTCTAACCTAATGTATTAGACTTAATCTAATGTAGTACCTCTTCTGTTAATTACGCTACATTATTTATACAATAAATCACATCCCAAGTGTTAATTTAGTTTAATTAAGTAACCATATCAAATTTTATAATTCACTATATCACCTGCATATATTTATCTCATGTTACAATGACATGTAGGCCTACCAATAATAATTCTTAACATCTTCAGTAACCAAATACGATATCACATAGAGGAATATTTTCCCTAGAACCCTTAAATCCATGACCAGGTACTCGGTACATCCTCGAACTACCCACAAAAAAAATCTGACTGCCTCCTCAGTCTTGAAATCAACTAACTACCGATGAAGCAACCGACCAACGAACTATCCCCCTGCTGGCCGGGTGACGACACCAAATTATCTTAAAACAGCATTATCCTAATCTACTGGGTTCCTTACGCTAAGAAAACAAACCTCATAGTACAAAATATCATCACATATCATAAATTATAAATCATATCATTATACCAAATCAAATCAAGATCATAGTGACATTATCATCTTGTCAATAACATAACACCGCCCTAAAACCGGAGTGTCCACATTAACTATAACAATATCAATTATCACTAATACTGATGTCTTACTTATCATATTACGACCCTCATCAGCATAACACAGCAATGGGCTCATAATACCTACAGCCCCTGCTTAACCACTACAATTTTTTGTTTCACTAGGACGTAATAGAAAAAAAAATGTACATGCCTACTACTTAAAAATATATGAAGAGGTTCTACTTATCTAATTTGTAGAAATGGGCATCATCATCAGCTTCATCACACAACACACACTTCCCACACAGGTTCCCTTGTCCTTCACAACACAGGTCCTCTTAGCACGGTCTTCACATGTTCTCCCAACACGGTTCTTCATGGCATGGGTCCTCACATTAAGGGTCATCACATGTTCTCCCCACACGGTTTCTCACAGCACGGGTCATAACGGCATGGGTCATCAGAGCACGGGTCGTCATACATATGTCTACGTGTCCCGTTTCTACGTGTCCCGTTTCTACGTGTCCCGTTTCTACGTGTCCCGTTTCTACGTGTCCCGTTTCTGCGTGTCCCGTTTCTGCGTGTCCCGTTTCTGCGTGTCCCGTTTCTGCGTGTCCCGTTTCTGCGTGTCCCGTTTCTGCGTGTCCCGTTTCTGCGTGTCCCGTTTCTGCGTGTCCCGTTTCTGCGTGTCCCGTTTCTGCGTGTCCCGTTTCTGCGTGTCCCGTTTCTGCGTGTCCCGTTTCTGCGTGTCCCGTTTCTGCGTGTCCCGTTTCTGCGTGTCCCGTTTCTGCGTGTCCCGTTTCTGCGTGTCCCGTTTCTGCGTGTCCCGTTTCTGCGTGTCCCGTTTCTGCGTGTCCCGTTTCTGCGTGTCCCGTTTCTGCGTGTCCCGTTTCTGCGTGTCCCGTTTCTGCGTGTCCCGTTTCTGCGTGTCCCGTTTCTGCGTGTCCCGTTTCTGCGTGTCCCGTTTCTGCGTGTCCCGTTTCTGCGTGTCCCGTTTCTGCGTGTCCCGTTTCTGCGTGTCCCGTTTCTGCGTGTCCCGTTTCTGCGTGTCCCGTTTCTGCGTGTCCCGTTTCTGCGTGTCCCGTTTCTGCGTGTCCCGTTTCTGCGTGTCCCGTTTCTGCGTGTCCCGTTTCTGCGTGTCCCGTTTCTGCGTGTCCCGTTTCTGCGTGTCCCGTTTCTGCGTGTCCCGTTTCTGCGTGTCCCGTTTCCGCGTGTCCCGTTTCCGCGTGTCCCGTTTCCGCGTGTCCCGTTTCCGCGTGTCCCGTTTCCGCGTGTCCCGTTTCCGCGTGTCCCGTTTCCGCGTGTCCCGTTTCCGCGTGTCCCGTTTCCGCGTGTCCCGTTTCCGCGTGTCCCGTTTCCGCGTGTCCCGTTTCCGCGTGTCCCGTTTCCGCGTGTCCCGTTTCCGCGTGTCCCGTTTCCGCGTGTCCCGTTTCCGCGTGTCCCGTTTCCGCGTGTCCCGTTTCCGCGTGTCCCGTTTCCGCGTGTCCCGTTTCCGCGTGTCCCGTTTCCGCGTGTCCCGTTTCCGCGTGTCCTGTTTCCGCGTGTCCCGTTTCCGCGTGTCCCGTTTCCGCGTGTCCCGTTTCCGCGTGTCCCGTTTCCGCGTGTCCCGTTTCCGCGTGTCCCGTTTCCGCGTGTCCCGTTTCCGCGTGTCCCGTTTCCGTGTGTCCCGTTTCCGTGTGTCCCGTTTCCGTGTGTCCCGTTTCCGTGTGTCCCGTTTCCGTGTGTCCCGTTTCCGTGTGTCCCGTTTCCGTGTGTCCCGTTTCCGTGTGTCCCGTTTCCGTGTGTCCCGTTTCCGTGTGTCCCGTTTCCGTGTGTCCCGTTTCCGTGTGTCCCGTTTCCGTGTGTCCCGTTTCCGTGTGTCCCGTTTCCGTGTGTCCCGTTTCCGTGTGTCCCGTTTCCGTGTGTCCCGTTTCCGTGTGTCCCGTTTCCGTGTGTCCCGTTTCCGTGTGTCCCGTTTCCGTGTGTCCCGTTTCCGTGTGTCCCGTTTCCGTGTGTCCCGTTTCCGTGTGTCCCGTTTCCGTGTGTCCCGTTTCCGTGTGTCCCGTTTCCGTGTGTCCCGTTTCCGTGTGTCCCGTTTCCGTGTGTCCCGTTTCCGTGTGTCCCGTTTCCGTGTGTCCCGTTTCCGTGTGTCCCGTTTCCGTGTGTCCCGTTTCCGTGTGTCCCGTTTCCGTGTGTCCCGTTTCCGTGTGTCCCGTTTCCGTGTGTCCCGTTTCCGTGTGTCCCGTTTCCGTGTGTCCCGTTTCCGTGTGTCCCGTTTCCGTGTGTCCCGTTTCCGTGTGTCCCGTTTCCGTGTGTCCCGTTTCCGTGTGTCCCGTTTCCGTGTGTCCCGTTTCCGTGTGTCCCGTTTCCGTGTGTCCCGTTTCCGTGTGTCCCGTTTCCGTGTGTCCCGTTTCCGTGTGTCCCGTTTCCGTGTGTCCCGTTTCCGTGTGTCCCGTTTCCGTGTGTCCCGTTTCCGTGTGTCCCGTTTCCGTGTGTCCCGTTTCCGTGTGTCCCGTTTCCGTGTGTCCCGTTTCCGTGTGTCCCGTTTCCGTGTGTCCCGTTTCCGTGTGTCCCGTTTCCGTGTGTCCCGTTTCCGTGTGTCCCGTTTCCGTGTGTCCCGTTTCCGTGTGTCCCGTTTCCGTGTGTCCCGTTTCCGTGTGTCCCGTTTCCGTGTGTCCCGTTTCCGTGTGTCCCGTTTCCGTGTGTCCCGTTTCCGTGTGTCCCGTTTCCGTGTGTCCCGTTTCCGTGTGTCCCGTTTCCGTGTGTCCCGTTTCCGTGTGTCCCGTTTCCGTGTGTCCCGTTTCCGCGTGTCCCGTTTCCGCGTGTCCCGTTTCCGCGTGTCCCGTTTCCGCGTGTCCCGTTTCCGCGTGTCCCGTTTCCGCGTGTCCCGTTTCCGCGTGTCCCGTTTCCGCGTGTCCCGTTTCCGCGTGTCCCGTTTCCGCGTGTCCCGTTTCCGCGTGTCCCGTTTCCGCGTGTCCCGTTTCCGCGTGTCCCGTTTCCGCGTGTCCCGTTTCCGCGTGTCCCGTTTCCGCGTGTCCCGTTTCCGCGTGTCCCGTTTCCGCGTGTCCCGTTTCCGCGTGTCCCGTTTCCGCGTGTCCCGTTTCCGCGTGTCCCGTTTCCGCGTGTCCCGTTTCCGCGTGTCCCGTTTCCGCGTGTCCCGTTTCCGCGTGTCCCGTTTCCGCGTGTCCCGTTTCCGCGTGTCCCGTTTCCGCGTGTCCCGTTTCCGCGTGTCCCGTTTCCGCGTGTCCCGTTTCCGCGTGTCCCGTTTCCGCGTGTCCCGTTTCCGCGTGTCCCGTTTCCGCGTGTCCCGTTTCCGCGTGTCCCGTTTCCGCGTGTCCCGTTTCCGCGTGTCCCGTTTCCGCGTGTCCCGTTTCCGCGTGTCCCGTTTCCGCGTGTCCTGTTTCCGCGTGTCCTGTTTCCGCGTGTCCTGTTTCCGCGTGTCCTGTTTCCGCGTGTCCTGTTTCCGCGTGTCCTGTTTCCGCGTGTCCTGTTTCCCCGTGTCCTGTTTCCGCGTGTCCTGTTTCCGCGTGTCCTGTTTCCGCGTGTCCTGTTTCCGCGTGTCCTGTTTCCGCGTGTCCTGTTTCCGCGTGTCCTGTTTCCGCGTGTCCTGTTTCCGCGTGTCCTGTTTCCGCGTGTCCTGTTTCCGCGTGTCCTGTTTCCGCGTGTCCTGTTTCCGTGTGTCCTGTTTCCGTGTGTCCTGTTTCCGTGTGTCCTGTTTCCGTGTGTCCTGTTTCCGTGTGTCCTGTTTCCGTGTGTCCTGTTTCCGTGTGTCCCGTTTCCGTGTGTCCCGTTTCCGTGTGTCCCGTTTCCGTGTGTCCCGTTTCCGTGTGTCCCGTTTCCGTGTGTCCCGTTTCCGTGTGTCCCGTTTCCGTGTGTCCCGTTTCCGTGTGTCCCGTTTCCGTGTGTCCCGTTTCCGTGTGTCCCGTTTCCGTGTGTCCCGTTTCCGTGTGTCCCGTTTCCGTGTGTCCCGTTTCCGTGTGTCCCCGTTTCCGTGTGTCCCGTTTCCGTGTGTCCCGTTTCCGTGTGTCCCGTTTCCGTGTGTCCCGTTTCCGTGTGTCCCGTTTCCGTGTGTCCCGTTTCCGTGTGTCCCGTTTCCGTGTGTCCCGTTTCCGTGTGTCCCGTTTCCGTGGTGTCCCGTTTCCGTGTGTCCCCGTTTCCGTGTGTCCCGTTTCCGTGTGTCCGTTTCCGTGTGTCCCGTTTCCGTGTGTCCCGTTTCCGTGTGTCCCGTTCCGTGTGTCCCGTTTCCGTGTGTCCCGTTTCCGTGTGTCCCCGTTTCCGTGTGTCCCGTTTCCGTGTGTCCCGTTTCCGTGTGTCCCGTTTCCGTGTGTCCCGTTTCCGTGTGTCCCGTTTCCGTGTGTCCCGTTTCCGCTGTGGGTCCCGTTTCCGCGTGTCCCGTTTCCGCGGTGTCCCGTTTCCGCGTGTCCCGTTTCCGCGTGTCCCGTTTCCGCGTGGTCCCGGTTTCCGGCGTGTCCCGTTTCCGCGTGTCCCGTTTCCGCGTGTCCCGTTTCCGCGTGTCCCGTTTCCGCGTGTCCCGTTTCCGCGTGTCCCGTTTCCGCGTGTCCCGTTTCCGCGTGTCCCCGTTTCCGCGTGTCCCGTTTCCGCGTGTCCCGTTTCCGCGTGTCCCTGTTTCCGCGTGTCCTGTTTCCGCGTGTCCTGTTTCCGCGTGTCCTGTTTCCGCGTGTCCTGTTTCCGCGTGTCCTGTTTCCGCGTGTCCTGTTTCCGCGTGTCCTGTTTCCGCGTGTCCTGTTTCCGCGTGTCCTGTTTCCGCGTGTCCTGTTTCCGCGTGTCCTTTTTCGCGTGTCCTGTTTCGCGTGTCCTGTTTCCGCGTGTCCTGTTTCCGCGTGTCCTGTTTCCGCGTGTCCTGTTTCCGTGTGTCCTGTTTCCGTGTGTCCTGTTTCCGTGTGTCCTGTTTCCGTGTGTCCTGTTTCCGTGTGTCCTGTTTCCGTGTGTCCTGTTTCCGTGTGTCCTGTTTCCGGTGTGTCCTGTTTCCGTGTGTCCTGTTTCCGTGTGTCCCTGTTTCCGTGTGTCCTGTTTCCGTGTGTCCTGTTTCCGTGTGTCCTGTTTCCGTGTGTCCTGTTTCCGTGTGTCCTGTTTCCGTGTGTCCTGTTTCCGTGTGTCCTGTTTCCGTGTGTCCTGTTTCCGTGTGTCCTGTTTCCGTGTGTCCTGTTTCCGTGTGTCCTGTTTCCGTGTGTCCCGTTTCCGTGTGTCCCGTTTCCGTGTGTCCCGTTTCCGTGTGTCCCCGTTTCCGTGTGTCCCGTTCCCGTGGTCCCGTTCCCGTGTGTCCCGTTCCCGTGTGTCCCGTTCCCGTGTGTCCCGTTCCCGTGTGTCCCGTTTCCGTGTGTCCCGTTTCCGTCCGTGTGTCCCGTTTCCGTGTGTCCCGTTTCCGTGTGTCCCGTTTCCGTGTGTCCCGTTTCCGTGTGTCCCGTTTCCGTGTGTCCCGTTTCCGTGTGTCCCGTTTCCGTGTGTCCCGTTTCCGTGTGTCCCGTTTCCGTGTGTCCCGTTTCCGTGTGTCCCGTTTCCGTGTGTCCCGTTTCCGTGTGTCCCGTTTCCGTGTGTCCCGTTTCCGTGTGTCCCGTTTCCGTGTGTCCCGTTTCCGTGTGTCCCGTTTCCGTGTGTCCCGTTTCCGTGTGTCCCGTTTCCGTGTGTCCCGTTTCCGTGTGTCCCGTTTCCGTGTGTCCCGTTTCCGTGTGTCCCGTTTCCGTGTGTCCCGTTTCCGTGTGTCCCGTTTCCGTGTGTCCCGTTTCCGTGTGTCCCGTTTCCGTGTGTCCCGTTTCCGTGTGTCCCGTTTCCGTGTGTCCCGTTTCCGTGTGTCCCGTTTCCGTGTGTCCCGTTTCCGTGTGTCCCGTTTCCGTGTGTCCCGTTTCCGTGTGTCCCGTTTCCGTGTGTCCCGTTTCCGTGTGTCCCGTTTCCGTGTGTCCCGTTTCCGTGTGTCCCGTTTCCGTGTGTCCCGTTTCCGTGTGTCCCGTTTCCGTGTGTCCCGTTTCCGTGTGTCCCGTTTCCGTGTGTCCCGTTTCCGTGTGTCCCGTTTCCGTGTGTCCCGTTTCCGTGTGTCCCGTTTCCGTGTGTCCCGTTTCCGTGTGTCCCGTTTCCGTGTGTCCCGTTTCCGTGTGTCCCGTTTCCGTGTGTCCCGTTTCCGTGTGTCCCGTTTCCGTGTGTCCCGTTTCCGTGTGTCCCGTTTCCGTGTGTCCCGTTTCCGTGTGTCCCGTTTCCGCGTGTCCCGTTTC